ACCAGAGTGGACTGAACATACTTTAGCATAAAAGATGCACCATACAAAAGTAATTTAAACAAGGTTACAATGACAGTTTGTGCGGAAACACAAACTAAATATCGGCCCCTGAAGTGGTCCACCCAGGCAGGTAAAAAGGCAGGTTTCATTATTATCAGAATGAAATTCTATCAAAGACACATGACAGAGAAGTATGGAGAAAAAAGGTTAACAGATCTTGTGGTGCCCCAGCGATCCAGCAGACCAAAGGATAGGTGAAAGTGAATGTGAAGTTAGATGTGAACCTGGCCTAACTGATGACTTATAATGAATATCTAATTGATTTAATTGTTTTGTAAAGGGTCAATCGCTTATTCCGTAAAAAAAAATAAAAAAAAAAATATTTTTTTCCCTTTGGTTAAGTGTTCTCTTGTATTCAAGAGGCACTACAGTTCACGCGATAATATGAAAAACTACTTATTAATTGTTGTTTTAAATTATGCATACTAAATAGATTTTTTCTCTTTGAAAAAAAAGTAAACATTTTTTGAGTGTAAATATAGTTCTTAGTATAACAGAACTTAACAATACAAATGTATAAAAAAAATCTACAACCGTTTGCATTATTGTGTTAAAAATATGGTAAATAGTCATCTCCCCTAATTAAGAGTCTCCCGTGTTTGTTACTATTAAAGTGAATAGTTGTAAAAGTATATTTTTATGAAAAACTGCTTGCATAAGTGATTTAAAAATTAGAATTTTCGCTTTCAGAAAAGAAAAAAGTAGCCTTTGCGTCGGATTTTCACTATCTTTTGTAGTTTACAAGATCTAAAAGGGACAGACGGACGGACAGACGTTACACACAAAATTAATAGCGTCTTTTCCCCTTTCGGGGGCCGCTAAAAAGCAATTTTATTGCACCACCACATTTGACTAATTAACCTTTTTTAATTTGCATTAGAATGGGGTGTGATATGGTTTCTTGGATACTTTAGTAACAAAATGACAAGGTATTCACTCTCTGTGGCATTTTACGTCTTGAGAGATGATCTTTTCCCTTTGCAACTTCTTGTGTGACTAAAAAGGCCAATCCTTGATACACAGCTGCGGTCACAGGTTGGGCATATGTAATCACCAGGCGCTGTTGCATTTTCACCCTTCTTTCTGCTTCTGTTGTGTATGGCTTCTGCAATCCGAGACCCTTCCTTTATGCTCTCTCTACATGTGGATCTATCTAGTGCTACTTTTTCCCAGCTGCTAGTGTCGATTTTGAAGAGCTTCTTGTCGTGTTTGCATACATTCATATACTGTAAAAGTGGGTGACAAGCAGCTCTCCTGCCTTCTATTAGATCACCATACAGAATGTCTTGTGGAAGTCGACCTACTGACATTCTACGAACGTAACCAAGCCAGCGAAGGCGTCTGCTGCTGATAACAGAGTGGATGTCCTGGCACCCTGCTCTTCATAGCACTCATTGGTTATTTTATCTTGCCACCTTATTTTAAAGATCTGCCTTAGGCATCGGAGTAGGAAGACTTTCAGCTTTTTTTCCTGCCATGAGTAGGTTGACCATGTTTCACTTCTGCATAGCAAAGTGCTCATCACACAGGTCCGATAGACTAAGGCTTTAGTCAGCAATATGTTGTCCCACACTCTTTTCTGTAACCATGACATGGTGCCCATTGCTTTGGCAATCTCCTGTTGTTCATGTCTTTATCCAGTACAGCATTGTTGGATATGATGGAGCCAAGATAGCAAAAGTGATCAACAATTTCTAGTGGTTGGCCATTAATGTTTACTTGAGGTGCAGTATTTGTGTTCTGAACTAGTATCTTAGCCTTGCATTGAATATTCACTAATGGTTGGGAATAATAGGAATTACTTTAGTATGACAATTAATATATTTGTTATTTCATTGAATAGTTTGATTTTAAGTTTCATATAAACATTCTCTTTGTTTTTGTTTGTTGCTATGGTAATTATTTAATTTACTTTTGTTTTTAAGGAGGATGAGTATGAAGCCAGAGTAGGTGCAAGATTTCCTATCAAGTGGACAGCCCCTGAAGCTGCCAACTTCAACAGGTTCACCATTAAATCTGACGTTTGGTCTTTTGGTATTTTGCTGACTGAAATCGTTACATATGGACGTGTACCTTATCCAGGTAAATTATTGTTTGATTTTTTATTCTTAAAGCAGATTCTTAACCTTCTTGCTTTGCAATAATGTGTCCTCGAGATGAATCTATATTTTACCTGTTTACATGCACATAATATTTAAAGGAGTGCAAGCTGTTGATTAGGGTTTATTTGTTCACAGATTTTAGTTGATTTGTTTATTTTGTGTTACTTGTTTAGCTTAAATATTATTCTTGTTGCATTTATTTATGCATGTGTTCAGAGTTTCTATTCTTTAATTTAAATCTGTGATTGATTGATTTCTAATTTTTGTTTTTGTGAGAACAAATGATTCATAAAATTCTATCGTAACTATTAAAGATACACACACTTAAACAAGCAGGGTATAATTTTTCACTTGCATATTTTTCAATAGTTCACAATTGATAAACCACTGGATTCAGCTACAGATATTCTAAAGATTAAAATAGCAGCTTATGTCCTTGTAATTGGGCTACTAAAAATGTTTTCATAATCCATAAACTTGTCTGTTGTACCATCAATCTTGACCACAGGGCTGTTTATCACTCTTGTAAGACTAGTCTTAATTTTGAGACAAGCTTTCAAAGCCGTTAGTAAATGTGTTTGTTTAGTTCACTGTAATGACATTTATTCTTTTGAGTCTCTATCTTATTCATTCTGGAAGCGACTATGGATTATCTCATAGATATGAGATGAAGGCCTGGCCATTAGCTATTGTTGGAATGGTGTCGCCCACAAAGCTGTTCCCTCCCTGATGTTTCCAAAAGAATGGCAGGTGCCAATACAGTTTTGGATCAGCTGCATTGCAGGGGTGTAGCACTGTGCTGCAAGGTGCCTAGGAGTCACACGCTCCTGATTTTACTAGATGCTTGACTCCCAAAGCCTTGCCACAAGGCCGCTGAGGTTTGAATTCAGTTTTCCTTCTCCTATGTGGAGCCATGGTTGACTAGCTGCTCCTGCCTGAAGCTTACTGGTTGTTTGCTTTTGCCCCATTTCCTGTCATTGATAACAGTTCTGCCAAAATCAATATGATTCACTTAAAGGCCAGGTGTTGGACTGGTTGTCTGAGTCTAAGTGAGATGCCATTGTAAGCATTTTGTACGTAGTGCAGTGCTTATATCCATTTCCATTTCTGGTAATAACAATCTTATGGAACCATTGTTTGAGTAAATAGAGACAAACAATTAGTTTTGGTTACAAGTATCCTCATGAAAGATTTTATGAGATGAATTTGTATAATAGTAAATAGATATAATGAGAGTTTTGTATAACTGCACTACGACAAAGTCCCTTACTTTTTTCAAGAGATGACAAATAATCATTAGAAAAGTATTTATAAACATTTTAACCTGAAACCTTCCCATCATAACCTCAAGCTTGTCCTATTGTTTAAGTTATGGATAATTATTAATACTATCTCAGCAAATCTTTTTCATCTCCATTTTGTAATCTCAGAAAAAAATGAGAATAATATTTGAAAAATTTGATCAAATGATACTTTTTTTTTTGTGTGCCAGGTATGACTAATGCTGAAGTGCTGCACCAGGTGGAACATGGCTACCGCATGCCTTGCCCACAAGGTTGTCCCAAAGCACTTTATGAGATAATGCTTGATTGTTGGCGTAAAGAAGAAATTGAAAGACCAACATTTGAAACTCTTCAGTGGAAACTGGAAGAATTTTTCTCAATGGATCCTAAAGAGTACAGAGAAGCTTCATTTGTGAGATAAACTCATATTAGCAGTCTAGTCATTTTACTGCAAACTTGAGACATTGAGCCATGACTGTCTGTGAATACTGAGATACAGAATGCTCATTTTTATATTGAGACATAGCTATTTATATAATTCAAGTCAATTGTTTTTGCTGGGGTAAACAGTATGTTGACTAAAAAAATGTTTTGGAGATATGTATGCAGATATAAAAATCATTTTTGTTTGCTGCATAGAGATTGGCTCAGCTTGTGTGATAGCTACATGTAGCTTTACTTAGTAGTATGGTAGTATTTTTTTTGTGTGTACATTTTTGCTTCATTCTGTATATTTCTTAATCAAATTTCAAAAAAGAAAAAATGTGGACCTCTTAAAGGATTTCTGATAAGAAGGGGAACATATTGTTTTGTTGATAGAGATTCTCATTATACATTAAAAAAATAAACATAATCTTGACATAGAGAAAGGTGAGATAAAACATACTTTTGTAAAATATTTGTGCCACAAAGTTAATGGTATGTCAGTTTCCAGTGGGGAAGAAGATTAGTAACTATTCAGTCAATAAGAGAACTTTGATTTCTGTTATCAATCAGATTGAATAGTGGAGTTAATCTTATCCATTTTTTAAATTTATTTTAAGATAAAAAAACAACAAATTCAAATGCTAGTTTTTATTAGAATTGAAGATTTTGTAGAACTGCACTTGAAAATGTGTTATGAAATTTGCGGTACAATAAAGCAGCTAGTTTTATTCACAAACTGTACTTTAATCTGTTCATATGTACATTTATATTGTTTGCTTGTTATGAATAGTACAAATATGATCATTCTAAATGAATGGGTAAATTTTGTATGAAATTTATTTTTTTTTTTTTTCATTTTTGTTAATGGTACATAATATATTTTATGTAACTATCTGTTTTAAACTACGGATGTGGATGCAGCCATTATTGCAAAATATTGTAAACAGTGTTTTAGTGAGAGGTATTCATCACATATGCTTATTGTAAACTTGACCTTTGTTTTTTGTTTTGTCAGGGTTGTTGTCTAGAAATATTCAATGCTGTTCAGCTATTTTAGATTTGTGTACAGATGTGCTCACATTTAATGTGCTTTTGTTTTGCAGTTTTACTTTCAAGAATAACTATAGAGATTTTTTTTTTTTTTTTTTTTTTTTTTTTGCTTTTTGATAATTATATATGGTTTCAATATTACACTATACTTTTTATACATATATAAATAATCTTTACAATTTGTACATATGTTTATAATTTTGATAAACTGAAATAAGTTTATAGTTGTGACCATTGATTGATTCATGTACCCAAGATTTTAACTTGTCAGTTTAAGGATATGAGGTAGCTGTGAGTTAAAGTAAACTAGGTAGCAATGTTTGGCTGTTTAGCTTACATTAACTTAGGCTGATGTCATTTACCACTTCAAACTAACACTTACACTTTTATCAACTTGGTGCTTTATTATAGTTTTGTTAGAAGAAGGACTTGTGCATGATCTTAGTTCTAAGATCTATTCACCCATAGCCAACACATTCCTACTAAGTAAATCAAACTCATAGCATTGACAGATGTAAATGTTATCATTTGTGTGTGTGTGTGTGGCTACATAACTTCTGTGACAGAAACATTACTCATCTGTACATGTCTGCTTTGAAGTGTTCCAATGTTTTCTCAATTACTGTGTTGCTGATTTCCCCCTTCTCCCTTTTTTCCATTGTATGTTCTCTTGGTGTTTCAAAAGTATTGGTGTCTGGCTTTGTTCTGTGTTCTGTGTTTTATCAACAGTTTTTTGTTTGTTTCTAACAACATAAATGTCCATCGGAGACTTTGACTTACTCTCTGCAGTCTTTACATCTTACTTACAACTTCTATTTAATGCTGTTCAGCTTACACTTAAAGCATACATAAGACAGTATCAAAGCCAAGTGGATGGCTGCCTTGTTGTGATGTGTGTGCTTTTGATTGACATCTTGATGGTCCCGGGTTTAAACCCTGCCCACTGCCATCCCCCACCATCCTTTGAGAGGTTTGGGCTAGGATGAAATAATATTCAATTCTGAAGGGACATATAAAACAAACAATGAAAGCCTCAAAAAAAGATTTTTTTATTTTTAATATGTAAAATGCGAAATGTAGTGCTAGACCTATATAAAAATATAACAAAATTGTGTGGTTAGTCAGAATTTTATTGATATAAGTCTCTAAAATCTTGTTTTCATTCAGAATTGATATTTGTTCTGTTCAAGATAAAAACTCCAACATTAGTTTTGACCTAATTAATCCATTTCTAAATGTTTTCAACCCCATCATGCTAACTATAATTGATGTAAGAAAATGTTATCAATTTACAAGATTGTACTGTGAGCTTCTATATCATTCCTATGAGTATGTTCACATATTTCTAAGGGATTATGTTTCACTAAGAATGTATGCATGTGTTACTATTTCATGTCAAATTTGTATTTGTTCATTGGTTAGGCTGAAAATGCTTCCCCTTTCCCTTCTTGCCAAGGGAGTTAGCTTTATCCAAGTATGTGTAGGTATTTCCTTGAAGAGTACATATGTGGCTCTGTGCAAATAGAACTGTCCTGACAAAAAGAAATACTTGTTGACTAATCAGAATGTCAGAGCAAAGTTGTCAAAGACATACTTTTAACATTTAATAATCTTGTCTTACAAACAAACAATGTTTCTATGAAATGTCTCTTCTTTGTACATTTGTACTTATTTATTTCCTACAGTACAGGCGTTGTAAATAATTTAAGAGAAAATCATTTTTGTAATAACTAGCAGTCTCGAAAGAGACCTGTGTCTTTACTAATAGAGAAACTAGACTTGTATTTTCCTTTGCTAGCTATCTTTTAGCATTTTATGTTGAGTTGTATGCTAACAAATATACATTTCAATCCTTGATAAGATCCTGCTCTCATTTCTGGTCATGACTTTAGTTAGGAGATGATTGTTCTGTCTTTAGCTAAAAAGTCAGGCTAAGATGGCCTAGTCTTGACAAAAAGTGGGTTGGATATGTTCATACAACTGGTTAACTAGCTCCACCATTCTGTTTCAAAGAAGTTATTCTTTTTAAAATAGAATTTTGTGACTGCTGTTACTTACAATAAACTCTGACTTGAGATTTAACTTCTCTCCAGAGATGTTCTTCAAGTTTGGTGTCTGACTATTGAAACAAAATCTTTCATCTGTTAAGATCTAAATTCTATTTTAATGTTATGTAGCATACCATGTAATGTGTTGGCAATTCTAGCACTGCAAGTAAACAGTGACATAGGTTCTCTTTGAACATTGATAATGTACACTGAACTATTAGCTATCTGAGAATTATTTGCTCTCCTTTTCAGTACAAAATACATCTCACCAGCTCCCTTTGAACTAAAAGTATTTAACAGTTGTTCCCCTTCAAACCTTTGGGACCTTGGGCACTTGATGTAAAAACTCAACTGATTCTATCTATGAACTAAAATTAACAAGTGTGTCATGTGGCCAGGACAACAACCATTTTTGCCTTCTCAAACTAATGTCATGTACCAAGAGTTGGGTTGGTTTTGGGACCAATAAGTGTTTTAAATTGTCCTCTGCAGTTAACCATACATGTCGGGGTATCTGGTTTAAAATTTGTTTGGCTAATGTAATAGAGTAACCGGATTTATGACATAATTAAAGTTATAGTTAACCTGAAGCTGTCCAGTCCACATAGATTTTTCTGACATCTCTCTGCATCATAGATTTTTCTTGTCTCTCTGCATCAGCAGTCTCTTAGAATGCTACCATCTTATCAATGATGTCCTGCCAAAGTGTGCAATATTTCCAATGGTGATTGAGTTCATGATTGGTGCGTGCATATGTGTGTTTGTTTAATTCCCTTCAGCTGTTGGCATGGACTTTATCTCCCCTGACCTGCTCTAGTGTGTGCCATAGGTAGCATGTTGGTTCAAAGTTTTCTCTCTCTTTTTTTATATATATATATATTAAATGTCAATCTACTGCAAGAAAATATTTTGTAGTTTTTGTTATTTTTTTTAGTATAAAATATACTGTGTTCTATTGAGCATAACTTTTTTTTTTTTAATTTTAAAATCAACATCTCCTCAAATCATATGAATAAACTAAAACATTTTAATAACTTGAACAAAGCTCTTTCTTAAAACAAAACTTACTGTAACTTTTATTAATATTGTATAAAGATTTAACTCGAGAGATAGATCTAGTAGTAACACAATGAAATAAGAAAACAAAATCTCACTCAATAAACATCTTTCTTACGTCTCTGAGTGGTCTCTCTCCAAAAACAAACTTTGACAGACCAGCTCCTGGTTTCACCATTCTACACTACCAAAAAAACAAACTATGACAGACCACCTCCTGGTTTCACCATTCTACACTACCAAAAAACAAACTATGACAGACCAGCTCTTGGTTTCACCATTCTACACTACCAAAAAAACAAACTATGACAGACCACCTCCTGGTTTCACCATTCTACACTACCAAAAAACAAACTATGACATACCAGCTCTTGGTTTCACCATTCTACACTACCAAAAAACAAACTATGACAGACCAGCTCTTGGTTTCACCATTCTACACTACCAAAAAACAAACTATGACAGACCAGCTCTTGGTTTCACCATTCTACACTACCAAAAAACAAAACTATGACAGACCAGCTCCTGGTTTCACCTATCTACTTTACCAAAAAACAAACTATGACAGACCACCTCCTGGTTTCACCATTCTAAACTACCAAAAAACTATGACAGACCACCTCCTGGTTTCACCATTCTACACTACCAAAAAACAAACTATGACAGACCACCTCCTGGTTTCACCATTCTACACTACCAAAAAACAAAACTATGACAGACCAGCTCCTGGTTTCACCATTCTAAACTACCAAAAAACAAAACTATGACAGACCAGCTCCTGGTTTCACCATTCTACACTACCAAAAAACAAAACTATGACAGACCACCTCCTGGTTTCACCATTCTACACTACCAAAAAACAAAACTATGACAGACCACCTCCTGGTTTCACCATTCTACACTACCAAAAAACAAAACTATGACAGACCACCTCCTGGTTTCACCATTCTAAACTACCAAAAAACAAAACTATGACAGACCAGCTCCTGGTTTCACCATTCTACACTACCAAAAAACAAAACTATGACAGACCACCTCCTGGTTTTACCATTCTACACTACCAAAAAACAAAACTATGACAGACCAGCTCCTGGTTTCACCATTCTATACTACCAAAAAACAAAACTATGACAGACCAGCTCCTGGTTTCACCTATCTACTTTACCATAAAACAAACGATGACAGACCAGCTCCTGGTTTCACCATTCTAAACAACCAAAAAAAAAACTATGACACCAGCTCCTGGTTTCACCATTCTACACTACCAAAAAACAAACTATGACAGACCACCTCCTGGTTTCACCATTCTACACTAACAAAAAAACAAACTATGACAGACCAGCTACTGGTTTCACCATTCTATACTACCAAAAAAACAAACTATGACACCAGCTCCTGGTTTCACCATTCTATACTACAAAAAAAAAAAAACTTTGACAGACCAGCTACTGGTTTCACCATTCTACACTACCAAAAAACAAACTTTTGACAGACCAGCTCCTGGTTTCACCATTCTACACTACCAAAAATCAAATGCTCAATTTCCTCGTCCCAATAACACTCTTATTTAAACTTGAAAATGATAATGCGCATAAATATGTAGCCCCAAATAAGGAAAGAACAGTAAAGAGCAAACAAAGATGTTACCGAGTAGAACTTGGCAGTCTGAATATTGTTACAACACAGTTTTACAAAGTGACAATCGATATTGTTGGAGGTTATCGTACTGAAAACAAAAACAGATTTATTTTAACACTTGTTGACTGTCAGGGTGGGATTTCAGATTAGCTAGGGTATGATATTATATTACGGTCCCGTATCCCCAGCCTGAACAGAGTAACACAAGAACCTAAAGGTAATAGCATGTAAACTACAAACATTGAATAACAGTTATTCAACTGAACATTTAGTGAATAACAACAGTTGTCAATAGGAACAATATTTAATTAAACTTAATTGTAAATTTTCAAACATATTTACATGTACATCAATATCATTGAAGTTAGCATTGGATTACTAATTAGTCTAGTATCACACCAACAGGTTTCCGTAACACACCTTCACGCTCACACTCCATCTCGGCGCCCAACAGAAGCTCAACTCCCTACACCTCAACACCGATAGTTGCTACACAACTCCAAGGGCAGAAAGACGACACACTTTCCCATCGCCCAAACCTAACACCCTGAAACGAAAGGAAAACCTAGATCTAGCGCTGCCGCTACAAGAAAGAACTTTTCAATAACGACACCCGTACCGAAAGATCAGCGTACTTAATAAAACTATGTACTTACCTACCCTTACAAGGGGAACCAAAAAACCAGCTACCCAGCTCACAAAAGCAGCTCTCTCTCTTGCGGAAACTAAGGATGACGTAAACACACACACACACCCAATATTATTGACAACAAACCGCACTTAAAAGAAACTACTTCCTATACCCTAAAACACCAATATTAAATGCAAAGAAAAACTACAAGCGCGCACGACATTGACATTGCAACGAAATGGGCAAAGGCAATACTGTTACTAAACATTACTACCGAAACTGTGATTGAGGCGTTTAACACCATATTCAGTAGAATTGATATACCGTTTTAAGAGGTATTAAGGGACAATGGAAGTCAATTTAATGCAGACCTTTACAAGGACGTTTGTATTTTTTACAATATTAAGATAGTACATTCAACTTTTTCACCCCAGCTCGAATGGAATGGTTGAACGCTTCAATTCTTCGCTGAAAAGTTTTCTAGGGAAGGTTACACAAGAATGCCCTAAGGATTGGGATAGAAAAGTCACCGCTGCACTTTTTGCCTATAGAAATTCCGAATGAAACTACAGGCATATCGCCATTTCAAATGGTCTATGGAAGACAGATATTTTGAAACAAGTATTTGTAAACAAAGATGAAGAAGATGTATACAGGAATGTTTACTCATGCTTAACGGATTTGAAGGAGAGATTATTTCTAGTAACGTCAATTGCTAACAGAAATAGTGATGTTAAGAAGCATAAGTACAAGATACAATATGATAGATACTCTACGATGCGCAAGATTGATGGAAAAATACAAGTTATCTGTATATTGGCAAGGTTCATTTAAAATCGCGAAGAAAGTATCAAGGTTCAGTTTTCTAGTAAAGAAGGGAGATAAGCTGAAACATTATCACATCAAACGGTTGATGAAGTATTATAGCAGAAATAAAGATAACAGGTGAAAATGTTGCAAATATTGAACAATTTATTGTCTGCTAACATGGTGTCGGTTGTAGAGGATGAAAATGAATTTGAAGCAGACATGAGAAAAGAAGATATCTTACCCAGCATTCCGACATTAGAAATCAATCATAAAAAACAAATGATTGAAAACATTTTATCGCAGGTGAAAATTAATCCAGAATTATACAGAAATCAGAGACGGGAAATTATGAAGGTGTTCGATGATTTTAAAGAAATAATTCGATGATTGTAAAGATATTAGCTCTGACATAGCAGGTAAAGCAAACGTGGAAGAATAGAAGATACAACTGTTGGACACTAAGCCTATAGCATTAAAACCATGTACAGTACCAATGAATAGGAACGATACATTACAAGAAAAAATTGACAGTATGTTGAAGTTGGGTATCCTAGGATCCATAGATTCACCGTATGACGCTCCTGTTGTGGTTATTAAGATAGTACATTACGTCCATGCTTTGATTACCGCAAGTTGAACAATATTACACAACTACACCAAGCTGCATTAAACTTTCAACAAACATTCTTATTAGAAAAAGACATTAACCAACCAGTCGATGACCTCTGGAATTTCATTAAAAACCATCTTAAAAGCATTAAAGAAAATCATATACCAACTAAATACACATCAAACAAAATAAATAAATGCTGGTTTAATAATAGACTAAAGAAGCTTTGTAAACAGAAGGAAAACCTATATAGAAAATTTAAAGAAACCAAGGCAGAAAGAGTTTACAAAAAGTATATAAAAATTAAACACCTAACCCAAAAAGTAAGCAGACAGCTGCAGAGTGAATACATAAACAATGTAATATCTAAAGATAACAACAAAAACCTATGGTCATACATTAAGTCTAAGAAACAACAGGCATAGCGCCATTAAAAGATGAACATAACATAATACATAATGATAATGAAACTAAAGCAAACATCCTAAACAAATACTTTGCATCAGCATTCTCAGCCCCAAGAGACAAAGACATATTTCTTAATTTGAACCAAGTAGTCAACATAGAAGATTTAGTAGTACAAGAAAATGGAATTCAAAAACTATTAGCCAACACCAAACCAAATAAAGCGTCTGGACCTGATGGTATTCCAGCTAGATTACTCAAAGAACTAAGCAATGAGCTAGCCCCAGTGTTCAAAATACTCTTTCAGGCATCGCTTAACCAGGGCAGAGTACCAAAGGACTGGAAAGAAGCTAATGTCACCCCCCTATTTAAAAAAGGAGAAAAATCTGATCCAGGAAACTACAGACCAGTATCACTTACCAGCATCACATGTAAAATCCTAGAACACATAATATGTAGCAACATCATAAACCACTTAGACAAACATAATGTTCTCACCCCATACCAACATGGCTTTAGGAAATATAGATCATGTGAAACACAATTAATAGGACTAATTGATGATTTTTCAATAGGTTTAGATAATAGTGAACAAATAGATGCTATCTTACTAGATTTTTCCAAGGCTTTTGACAAAGTTCACCACCATAGTTTGCTTAAAAAATTAAAATATTTCGGCATTAATGGTCCACTGCATCAGTGGATTAAAGATTTTCTGATAGGGAGAGAACAAACTGTAATAATAAATGGCTCTA